TCCTAAGTTTGGCAAAATGGGACTTAGACTGGAGTCCAAGTTTGAGAAGAGTTTCAAGGAAGTGTTTGCTATTCAGGAAACAAATGAAAAGAGTTGGCTGACATCAGAGTTGTGGCTGGTGTCCTGGCACCATATTGTCATCTAGCCAGATCTGCCCACCTACAGCAGCAATGTCTGTGCTCTACAATTCAAGTACTCCCAAAGGATTGCCCTGGGTCATATAGAAACAAGTGCAGCTGGGAGTTACACCTCCTGGCCTGGGATCCATCCCCCTGTCTTCCATGAAATCAAAAGTATAGTACATTGCTGTTCTCTGCTCTCCAAGGGTCTAGGCTGGAGCCTGTCTCCAGCTGGCTTTGCTCTGCCTGTACCCCCTCCCACACACTCACACACATATGTCGCTTTCCTTGTCCCATACTCTCCTGAGAGCAATACACAATAAACCATGAGTTCCAAGACTTCAATCCACATGGTGGCTCATTCCTGCAGTACCAGTCCTTGAGAAGCTGAGGCAGGAGGATAGCTGTAAGTATGATGCCAGCCTGGGCTGCATAGTGACTCTCAGCTACCCTGGCTTATAAAGGTTTTGATTCTGGAAAAAAAAACTATCCACTCACCAAGTAAGAAAAAATAAGGATTTTTTCAACTCAGAATCTTTGTCCAGAGACCCACTGTAAGATAATGTCTCAGACACCAAGCCTCAGGGTGGGGTTCTAGAGTTGGGTCACTGTCCAACCAAAGGTGATTGGTGGAGTATCCATAGGTCCTTAGGTGTTAAACCAGCACTGGGGCCAAATTTTACCCTATAGAAAGGCATTACACACCATGTGAGCTACACACAAAGTGGCATATTTGCTTGTGGATGGAAAGAAGGTCACCACAAGACAGATGGAGTCTGGTGACACTTGCTACATTCCATTAATAAACGGATATGAGTTACTTAATCTAACAGCCCCAAGTAATCATGAGAAAAGAGTCCCTCACACGTGCAGCCATAAGTCAGACAGCAACAAAGGCATGTGCCTGTCCCTTGTGTGCAGAAAGATAGCACTCTAGAGAAGACTGTGTCCTAGGTTCAAGAAGTGACTTGTGCCAATGTCAGAGTCCTGAGACTCAAAGAGTAGGGCCATGAAATAGATATGTGTGAGGACTTTAAACCTGTTTCCCTGAACTTAATTGTCTGTGAGAGCATCCCTTTACTCTTTCTGGGAAGAGAGAGCCATCTGTGTTCCCTATCTTGCTTGAATGAAAACTATACATGAGCCTCCCAGATTGGCTCAGTGGTCAAACCAAGGCTAGGGCTGGAAGCCAAGTGAGAGGGACCTCACACTAAAGGAGTGACAAACCCAGCCTACAGGAAAGGCATGGAGATTGTATTTGGGTTTAGATACTGGATGAAGAAATCTGGAAAACTAAACTTGCTAACAGAGTTATCAATAATTTAATTTTTCTTATTGATTCTTCGTGAATTTCCCATCATGCACTACAATCCCACTCATCTTCCCATCCCTTCCTATTCCCCTCCACCCTTGCAGCCTCCCTCCCCAAAGAAAACAGAACAATGAAAAAAATAACAGCTAAAAGCATCTTGCCATGAAAGCTGCAGAGTGTCACAGTGTGTCACACAGTATACACATTTTCCAAAGAGCTTTTCTTGCAAACGTTCATTGCAATGAGTCACTGGTCTGGTTCAAAGCCTCTGGCTCTGCTCCATCATCAGTACTGGACCCTCCCCATGACACATCTCAGATATTTTGTTGTTTTCTTGTGTCATGGAGATCCTGCAGCTTTGGAAGAGCAGGACTGGTCTCTTCACATGGTCCAGGAGTTCATAGCTGGGGTAGATGATGAAGTGGATCAGGTCAAAGCCCTGTATCTGGTCCTGGGTAGTAGCTGAGTTGGTCAGCCTGCCAGCTCGGCTGCACACATGATTTACTGACACTTCAATGTTCTTCTGTGCTGTAGAATCTAATCAACCTGGTGATGGCCAAGGGTCATGAATCTAGACTGTCCCTGGGCAGCTCCTATGTGTTCCTCATAGCTCCAGCACACTTTAATGGGGTGCTGCTTCATTAATGGAACCATGATCACAGACTCAGGGGTACAAACCTAACTAAAGTGGTGAGATGACTCTACTCTCTAGTACTAGAAAATTGGTCCGTGAGATGACTGTATGTTGCCTGTGCCATGGACTGCTCGAAGAAGCCTCAGCTGACTTAGAGACTGACGCTTCAACAGTCTCCACCATAGTGGTTGTCGGGGTCAAGGCTACAGCAGCTATTGTTGCCCCAGCAATGCTTGAATGATGGCTGCAATGATGGCAGCTATAATACCAGAATCCCTCTTTCCCCACTGTAGGGGTTGTAAGTGAGTCTGGGCCATCAGAGTGAAGGCATCAAAATAGCTGCTGGTTCCCTCATCTGGATAGCCATTGTTGACTACCTCATCCAGCAGGCAGTCAGCAGACATTTCTCATTAGAGCAGTTACGGCTGTCTCTGACACTGGAGGTATTGGTGACCAGAAGGAAAAAGTGTGTGTGTGTGTGGGGGGGCAGTCGGACATAGACTGGGGTGGCTTTCCAACCAACTTGGCCGCCGGTGGTCACATTCACCGGCATTGCCCCAGTCCACATTTTTGCTGACTAGTTTATGTGGAAATATGTCCCATTAAAGAGACAGCCACCCTTTAGGAAAGTAAGAGGGCATAAATCAAGACAATTATAGGGGCCACATGAATCCTAATTGCTCATAATGGGGTCATATCGGGATCTAATGGGATCACTGTTAACATAGGGAGTAATGTTGGAAGCATCATGTGAGGTAAACCTCCACATGACAAGTGTGAGGTTAGACGATAATATCGGGTAGTCCCTGGTGAATTTTGCACCTAGTGCAGGCTGACAGAGCTCCCAAAGGATAGGAAGTCCCATGAAAGTGGGCATTCGAGGGACCCTTGGACAGTGATGCTAGAGGATGGCTTAGAGCCTGACGGCTGGAGGGCTGGAGCAGAGGCGCACTCATCCTCATCACTAAAATCAACCTGTTTGCCCAGAGAAAGTAGGATGGAGTCATTAATGGAAAGGTGAGTATTAGCCTGATCCTGGCAGTGTTATTTTACGGGTGGCCACCACTTCCTCTGGGGAAGAATTCTTAAGACTGGCGATGACTGTAAGGAACATGGAGGCAAAGAACAAGGGAAGGATAATCCCAGACTGTACTCCACGCTTGCAGGCAAGGAGGAGGATATGCATCGAGAGGTCAGGCTCTTTGGTGATATACAGGGGCCAAAAGAGCAGCCTCCTCCCAAAATTGATCCAGGTCGTGAGTCTTAACCTTGAGATCATGAGTAACCAGAAGGGTTTTCAGAGCTCTAATTTGGGATTCTTTGATGGCAGAAGGGAGGGAACCCATGATGATGAGCACAAAGGAAACAAACAACGAACAGATATGACATATATGACAGATGAGGCGACAAAAGTCAAGATGTACTAAGCAAGGGACTCCCTCAGGTGTAGCTCAAAGACCTTATGCCTGGACAGTGTTCCCAGGATGGAAAAGGCATCCAGGAGCCGATCCCCAGTACCACTGCCTGGGAGACCAGTCCCTATGTCAGATACCAGGATGAATCCAGACTAAAAGTGAAAATGAGACAAAGACAAAGAAGAAAGAAAAGATGGCCGCTGCACGCTTACTGCAGCACTGCTGACTCAAAGACAAAGAAAAACAAAAAGATGGCCACAGCATGTTCACCTAAACAAAGAAGAAAGAAAATATGGCTGTTGTGTGCTAATCCTTAAATCAAACCAAGTCTAAAAGCAAGGTTACTGGGACAGATAGAAATGAGATCCACACACTCACCTTTGAGAGGACCACAACATAAAACACTAAGGGGCCAACTCACCGAAAAAGCAACTGAAAAGGACACTACAGCAGCACCGTGAGGAGAAGAGCAGATTAGGTCGAACCATGAGCATAGTCTTTGCAGCAAAAGGCAAAAATGAGCCCTCAGAAAAGGAAGTTTGCAAGCAGCCACAAAATGAGGATGATGTAGTCCATCGACCACGCTGGACACCAGATGTTGCCTGTGCCCTGGACTACTTGCTGCCTGACCATACCTTCCCTGGAGGGTTGGAGGTGAGGTGGTGCAGAGTCAAAGACACAGACTCTAGGAGCAGGTGAGAAACACAGCAGCAAGCTCATCAAAACACTGCTGTAAGGTCCTTTAATACCCTCCACCCACACTCCATTGGTCCCAAGAAAGCATCTCTTTTAAATAACAGTTTCTGATTGGCTGGTATTGTCTGCACCAGAGTCCTTGGTCTCTCAGGCAGACCTCAGGTCTTCCTGCAGGAGATGCTTTTGCAGCTTTGAGACCCCCTAACATTTACATAAAGGTGCCTTGAAGTTCCTGCTACAACCATGTTCCTCAGGGCCCCTCAGAGGCATGAACTTAATGAGGTGATTAGGAACACACTGCTGGGGTCATGAGCATCCTGGATCAGCTCAGCACTGGCTGCTCTCTGAAGGATGGAATAACGGTGGGACCATCTCCCAATTCCTACTTCCATACTAGCAATAGAAAGATAAAGTTCCAAAAAACAAGGATCACTCAACTGTTGTGGCCAGATAAAGTAATCCTTAGGGCTTCCAGTCTGGGCCCAAGCACTGAGCAGATCCCGGGCAGCTGCTCTGCACCCATTCTCACAAAACCCAGAGGAAGTGGGCCTCCCAGGAGCTCTAACCTGAGCAGTATCTTAGGTAAGGAGACA